CCTCCCTGTTTCGCCACTCACACCACTGGTCCTGTAGGGCTCATCCGCCCTGGATTCCCTGGATTTCCAGTTCCTGTCTGTACCAGTGTACATCCTCTGGTCTGGCCAGACTTGCAAGATCGAATTCGAGTCATGGTAGTGTTTCATGAGCACTCCCTGGTGTCTGCTGAGATGCTGTTTGCTCCGCAGGAAGGCTGCTATAGAGATAGGGTCATCGGCTTGCTCATCCCTCAAACAGCAGCAATGTTGGGTAGGGTGGAGTCCGTTCACAGGACCAGCGGTCTGCTGTTCCAGGGAGGGCACCGGCAAGTCTACAGCAGAACGTTTCAGCCGTGCCCCATTCCTGCATTCGCTGAGGCAAGTAGGGAATGCCTCACCGGATGGCACAGTCTGGTTCCACAGGGCCTGTTCCGCCCCTTGGTTGGTGGGGGTCTGCCGCAGTGTACACCCAGCACAACCTTTATGCTCCTCTTCAGTATTTTCTGCAGTGGGGGACCTTTTGGGCCCAGGACAGCAGAGAGCAGCCCCTCCTTCCCCAACTACGAGAGACAGAACTCTGGCAGGGAGGTTCAGAGATGCCTCTAGAGCAGCGGTTCTCAACCTGTGGGTCCTGACCCCTTTTGGGGTCAAACGACTCATTCACAGGGGTCACCTGATTCCTAACAGTAGCAAAATGACAGTGATGAAGTAGCAACGAAAATAATTTTATGGTTGGGGGGGGCGGTCACCACCACATGAGGAGCTGTATGAAAGGGCCACGGCATGAGGAAGGTTGAGAACCCCTGCCCTAGAGTGTGAATAAAGCCTTAGGTGGGTGCCTTTCCTCAGTGAGTCACCCAGACCTGTGTGTGTGTGTGTGTGTGTGTGTGTGTGTGTAACTCGGCTAAGCCGGCCAGCCACGTTACCCTCCAGCAGACAAGTCGGCTCTGCTGGAGAGACAGTTATAAAACAGCCAGCCCCACCCCATCCCCACCCCTTTCCTGGGAGGCTGTCCTGTGTGGAAAGTGACCCTCGGGAGATGCTGAGGGGGATTTCAGCTCTCAGGGAGAATAAGGGAGGAGACTGAAGACAGCCTGGCACAGGCTTGGACGAACATTCTCTGCAAGGCCTCTTCCCCCCCCCCCCTCCCCTATGCAACCTAGCGCAAGCTGTCTCTAGTGGCCTCGTAAATAAACACCAAGGGAAGGGCATCAGGAGCCGAGGGTGGGGTGTGCCTGCCTGTCAGGAATGCAATGTTCTGTAACCCCCACGTTACCAAGCGCTGGATTTTTGTGAGTCCCGGGCGCCCAAGTCACGTGGGAGCTGGGCCTTCACGACACCCACGGTTAGGTGCTGACGGCAGCTCCCAGAAAGGCAGTGGCCTCTTACAAACTGCCAGTAGAGCATGAAGAGGTGTTTTTTTGGGAGTCATCTAACGGGGAGAACCAAGAGTCTTAAATGCCCAGCCCCTTTGTGCTAATAACTCTACTTCTTGAGATGAAGCCACGAGGAATTGTTCGAGATGCAAAGGGAACCGACAAGTGACACTGCCGGAAGTTCTTGGTATGATTTAAACCCCATCCCCCAGCCCCAGTGGAAGTGCTGAGCTGGAGGGAGATGGTGCCCTAAGGCCCCGGGGACAGGACGCCTCTGCTGAGCTGCTTCTCATCCTCTCCTGCCTGCCTCCTGCCCCGCTGTAGGGCCGCCCAGGCTGGCTGCCCAACCTTGCCCCAAGTGTTTCCCGCGGGCTTCTCTGGCACTTGGTCATGGGATGTATTAGTCTAGGTACCTTAGAGAAACAAATCCATAGCAACTCAACGTGTAAGAGAGTTTTGTGTAAAGAAAGTGTGCATCACGAAAACATCCCAACCCAATGCTGCCCAAGCCCACAAGTCCAACATTAACCCATTAACCCAACACCAGTCCACAAAGTCTCCACCTCACAAAACAGAGGCAATGATGCCAACTGCAAGAGGAAAGCTGAGTCAGTGAACGAACAAGCATCTCAGCACTAGCAGGGGTCTCCACACAGCTGCTCTAGCACCCAGGGCTGCATCGGGATAGGTCCATGTGGCTTCTCCTTGGGGATGTCTTGTAGGAAGTCAATCTTGCAAGCTGAAGCAGGGAACTGCTAAGGCAGCTGCACCCGGTGCAACCATCACAAAGCAAGAGACCCTAGAACACGAAAGGTGAGGCTCACCACCTATTTATCCCTCCGCCTTTCAATGAGCCCCACATGTGATTATCGGCCAGGTTGGCACAATTAACTAACTCAGGGGACATAGGCAGGAGCCCACTCTCCACCTAAGTACGTTCAGCCTAGACGCACCGGAGACTTCATGAGAGCCAGTTACCAATAATATCAACGAGGTTTTTGTTGGCTTGCCCACACCTATAGGGGAGTCTGCTCGCTCGTGGCCTGAGCAGCTCTGCCTCTACTGTTCCTCTCGCCCGCTCCCCGGGGGCTCACCTTCCAAATAAACAGCTGCCTAGTCCCTTGGTGTCACGTCAGTTTCTGCTCCTGGCTGCCGGGACAGGCCTGGGCCTCGGGCTCTGCTCTTGGGGAGAAATGTAGCCCAAGCTCACTTGGTTCCCAAAAGCCGATGAGAGCGGGACCCGGGAACAGGACCAGCCGTTGTCAGGAAGCAGTCTGGGTTCTGTGCGCTTGTGTTAGTGACAAGAGAAACAAATCCATAGAAACTCATGTGTGGATAAGAGAGAGTTTTATATAAAGGGTAAGTGTACATTAAGAAAGCATCCCAAAACGAAGAGCTGTTATCAAGGGCTCAAGTAGAAAGAAAATGTTTTGAGAATGATGATGACAACAAATGTACAAATGTGCTTGACACAATGGATGGATGTGTGGATTGTGATAAGAATTGTATGAACCCCCAATAAAATGATTTAAAAAGAAAAAAAAGCATCCCGGTCCAGTCCAGTCCCAGCCCATAAGTCCGACATTAGCCCATATGTCTGATACCAATCTAAAAAGTCCTCTTCAGACTCACAAAACACATGCAATGATGCCAAATGCAGGAAGATCGCAGGCCAGTGGGTAGAAAGTCTTTGGATCCAGTGGCGGTAGAAGCATCTCAGTGCTGGCAGGGGTCTCGCCATGGCTCCTCCAGTTCCCAGGGCACGGGGTCTATCAGAGTACTGCCATGTGTCTTGTCAGTAGAGCATCTCTCAGGGAGTGAGCAGAGAGAGAGTGTCTCCTGCCTACAAGGAGGAAGACAGGAGTTCCCAGAATCCTCAGAAGGCCATGCCCACACAGAGGCCTCATTGGCTAAGACTGATTGACAGACTAGACTCTGTGTCTTCACTCTTAATCCTCTCAAGTCCCAGATTGACACCAGATTATATAACTACAACAGCAGTGGAAACCCAAGGCATCCCATAGCCTCATCGCTACCCAGACTCGCCCGAGGTGGGCTGAGATGAGGCGCCAGGGCCAAGGGGTGCCAGGTTGTGTGTTAGAAGCACCACCACACAAACAGCAGAGCAGTAGGGATAAGGACTGTGGAGTTGGCTGGCATACTAACCGCTATAAGAAACCTGCTTTAAAACACACGGCAACTGCCAACTTGTGCTGAAAATCAGAATGCTGCCTTTAAGGAGACGGACCTATAGCTGCCATTCATGCCCTGCCCGGGCTGACTTGGGCACCAAAGACAGCTGCTCTGGAGACTGGAGGTGGAGCAGGCTTCTCTTGCAAATGTAACTTTGGGCTAAAGGCAAAGTTGTGGGTCTTCATATCCCACTGAATCCCCTCGGGCATATAGAAGCAGCCCCTACCCCCTAGCTAAAGGGCAG